ACTAGTGTCTGCTTGAATAACAAAGGGAGTGTTCAGGTCAGGGTGTTTTACCATGTTTCCCCCAAAATAACACCAGGTCTTTTTTTTTTCTCCTCCAAAAGAGGCACCGGGTCTTATTTTCAGGGAGAGGGAGTGTCTTTTATACTCACCTCCTGCATTTGACAGCCCCGTCCAGCCAGTCCATTTCTTCTGATCAAAGGAGCTGCATTTTGCAGTCAGTCCTTTCTGAAAGGCCACTGCAGCTTAGAACCGAGCTATGGATTCAGTCCATAGCTTGGTTCTCGGCTGCATAGGTCTTGCAGAACTGAGCTATAGATTGAATTCATAGCTCGGTTCTTGGCTGCAGTGGCCTTCTGGAAAGGCCTGTGTCTGAGAAATGCAGGCCTGGCTGCAGAAAATGCCGCAGAAGAAGTGGGCCGGTGAGAAGAGGCCTGGCTGCAAGGTAAGTGGGTGCGGGGCATGTGCGGCAGCTCCACCCCCACCCTAGCTTGATGTTTAGGTGTGTGCCTCACCCCAAATCTAGGGCTTATTTTTTAAAAATGTTTTATTAATTTTCTATTTTCACAAACAAGTGCTCAATAGACAACGTGATGACTGAGTCCAGTCATCTGTGGTACATATAAGCTTCTTCCAACTAAGTCCAATATTACACCCGCCTCCTCCAGTTCCCCACGGTTCTGTTAACAACTTTTTCTTCCATTCCATCAGCTCTCCTTCCTTGTCATCTAGTATGTTCTGAAACCTTATAAAAAGTCTTTTCTGTTTCCAGTATTATCTTTGTGTCTTCTGAGTTTTCATTTATCTGAGTCTGGTCATTAGTTTCTTCCTTTAGATCGTCAATGTTTGTGTCAGCATTCTCTAGTTTTCCTTCTATTTTCTGGGTTGCTGCTTCCTTCTCCTCTGTAGTTGTCTTCTAAGTTTGTAGATTTAAATTAGAAAATTGTTCTTTAATCTCCTTTGTGTTATTATTAACCTACTCACAAGCTAAAGTAATTGTTTTTTGTATTAATTTCAACATGGAGAGAATTTCTGTGTTTCATCAGTATTTTCTTGGTGATATGGCAAGTTAAGGTTACTGGGAACAGATGTTAAAGATGGTGTTTTACTATTTAACGCTGAATATGAAACATCCATTTTATTTATTTATTTTATAAGTAGCCTTTATAGATTTATCTAACCAGCTGTCCGTTCCTGAATCTCTCCTAAGCAGATATAAATAAAATTCAAATTTTTCTGTCCAGTAAGAAATATATCCTTTCTGTCCAGGGAGAAAAAAGAACCACTGAAGATTGTTTAACAATCAAGATTTATAATCCAAAGTGTTCTATATGTTTCTTCTACAAAAAAAAATAAATCCATAATACAGTTCTGAAAGTCAGTATTTATGTTCAAAATTCAGACAGGCCAAATTTAGAATTTTTATTATCTCTGCCACATAGATAAGCAGCCCCCAAGCCTGTTCCTTTTTTCTCAGCTGCAATTTTTCAATAGTAAAAACTTCCAAGGCCAGCCAAAGTCTTATCTAGTTCTGGGCTTCAAGCCAGGTTTCTTTTAGGCATAAATAAGTTGTAGTGCCGTACTTCACCACTAGATGTCATCAATGCCGCTTTCCAATTTTTAGATCCCAAACTTATATTGTAAATTTTTCAAGTCTTTTTCTTTAAAAAAAGGTCTTAAAAACACTTTTAGTCCCCAAATTCTCAAGTTGTATGTATATATTAATTTCAGATAAGTCTTAAAGGTTTCGCCAATATCCCCAAGTAATTAATTTGCTGCTTTTCTTTTCTGAGGGAATGGAGCAGAAATTCCCTTTCCCTCTTTCGTCGGAGGGAGTGCTTTGGGCAGATTTTCAGGAAGAGATCTTAAAATCATAAAGAAAGGATCAGGTCTCACCCAGTTTCATCCCTGTTGCTGTAAAGTTGCTTGTAGTGCTTGTTGACTTCTGTTATCAGCAGCTTTGGACTGGCTAAACAAATGCAGCCAGTCTTTCCCCTGCCAGTTTGGAGAGCTTCCTCGGATCAAGTGGGAGAGCTGCCGCCCCCCCCTGTGATCAAAGAGAGTCCCCTCCTTGCTTGCCACCTCTACAGGGCGACTTTTGACCCTTTCCAGCAGGGTGAAACCAGATGCAAAAGACGGAGCCCCATCTTCCTGCGTCTGCATCAAAACTAGGGCTTATTTTGGGGATAGGACTTATATAAGGCCCACCCCCAAAAATCAAGCTAGGGCTTATTTTCAGGGTAGGCTTTACTTTCGGGAAAAAACGATAGCACTGGCTCTGCCACAAACAGATGCTTGAGTTTTTCGAATGCCACTTGGCACTTTATTGTCCATTTCAGTGGTTGGCTAGGTTTGGGCTTTCCTTCTCCCTTTGTCTTCAAATTGGTGATGCGGAGGGCTATCTGGGCAAACAATGGGTTGAATTGGGGATAAAAGTTCATGAATCCCAAAAGGCTTTTAAGTGCTTCCGGGTGCAGCACACTCTCTTCACAAGGCAGAGAGGCTGGGCTGGGCAAGGCGAAGCTGGCGAGAAGCCGAACCTGCCTGGGCGTGTGCACAGGAGGCAGCGAGCACGCCGCTCCCTGTCAAAACTGGGCAGCTGGGGGCTGGGCAGCATCATGTAGTTAACGTGGACTCTCACTGCGCTTGTGGCGCCCCCGGAGCCCAGGGAGCCGGGTGTGTGAAGTGGGCAAGGGTCATTTGCTGGTCTCCTCATTCCTCATGGAGGGCGACACCTCCCCAGCTGCATTTCTTCCCTGTTTTTCTCCCTCTCTCATCACAAATATCTTCCCGCCACTCTGCTCTTAAGGCTGTGCAGCTCTTGTCCAGGAATTTACAGTGGCCTTTCAAGCTATGGCAACCTCTCTCCCTCCCCTTGTCCCTTCCTGGACACGGAGGAAAGGAAGGAAGGAAGGAAGGGAAGGAAGGAGATGGGAATGAGAAAGAGGGAGGGAGGGAGGGAAACAGGAAGAAAGGAAAGAAGGAGATGGGAATGAGAAAGAGGGAGATAGGGAAGGAGGGAGGGAAACGAAGGGAAGAAAGGAGATGAGAATGATAAAGAGGGAGGCAAAGAAGGAGGGAGGGAGGGAAGGAAGGAAACAGGAAGGAAGGAAGGAGATTGGAATGAGAAAGGGAAGCAGGGAGGGAGGGAAACAGGACTGAAGGAAGGAGATTGGAATGAGAGGCAGGGAGGGATGGAAACAGGAAGGAAGGAGATGAGAAGGAGGGAGGCAGGGAAGATAGGAAGGAGGGAGGGAGGGAGGGAGATTGGAACGAGAGGGAAGGAGGGTCTGAGGGAAGTCCTGCTTTAGTCCTGCCATGTTGCCCTTTCACCATCCCCTTGCCCCCTCCTCCTGGCCTATCCTGGTGGTCTCCCATCCTATCGCTTAACCCGGTCATATGCTTCCTGCAAGTCCAACTTGGTAAAAATCTTCCCCTTTGCCAAATAGGCTAGCATATCCTTCATTAGGGGCAGTGGGTAGACATTTTCCATGCAAATAGTCTTTAGCCCACAGTAGTCTATACATATACGAAAGAACCCATCCTTCTTCCTAAACAGCACCTGGGCAGCCACTCACGGTCTGGCGGGTTGTACGAAACCACACTCTAGGTTTTTGTCTATGAATGCCTGCAGTTCCTCTAATTTTCTGGGGATCATAGAATACAGATTGGGCTTGGGCAATTTAGCTCCCAGTAAGATTTCTATGAAGCGATCAGTTGAGCAGTTGAGTTCTTTTCATTGAAAACATCTCATAGATCCCAATATTCTTTAGGAATCCAGGGATCACCCTTCGGGCGTTCCTTTGTCACAGCTCCCACCTCCCTTCTTGGCTTTGCCCTCAGTGGCTTAGGGGTAGGGACCTCAAGTCTCTCTTTCATTTTCCCCTTGGGGCTAGCTCGTCGAATCTTTAACATTTTCCTTCTCCAGTTTACATAAGGATTCAACTTCAGTAGCTATGCCAACCCCAACACAAGGGGTCTCTCCATGCCTGACATCACAATAAAGCTCAAGGTTTCCATATGAGCCCCTATTCCCACCTATATTGGTTCGGTGACGAACATTGCTCAGGCCCCCCTGCTACCAAGTTGTCCAGCTGGCAAAAAGCCACAGGCACTTTGTCTGAGTCTCAGACCTAGTTTCGCAACAAGGGCAGAGCTGACCAGGCACCTGGTACAGCTTGAGTCCAGGAGGGCTACCACGCTCCCCTTGCGCCCTCAGGATGGCACCACCAGTTCTGTGAAAATGGTCACTGTAATGACTTAAGGGACCCTCTCATCCCACTGGGATTAGCCTGCCCCACCTATGCCAGCAAAGGAGGCATGCTGTGGGTCCTGTCAGCCCCAGTAGTACAGCCAGGGAGGTCCGGGAGAAGGGCCTTCTCTGCCATTGTACCTGCCCTATGGAACATCTTGAGTGAGGTTGGCTCCAACCCTCCCGACCTTCCATAAGAGCCTAAAAACCTGGTTCTGCCAGTTGGCTTGGGGCTCCAATGGGAGAGCATAACAGTGAAGGTGGTTGATCGATTAACAGCAGATCCCACCTTTCCTCTATTCTGCTCCTGTGTTCCTATCTTTTAATTGGGCCACTATATTTGTGTGTGTATCCTATTTAGGCTTTTATCTTTATACAGTTTTCATTTTTAAGATTGTAAGCCGCCCAGAGTTACCGGAAGGTAAGATGGGCAGCCAATAAATGTTATACACAAACAAACAAACACACAAAGTTATGAGCTCTATTCATATAAGAACTTCAACTCCAAAATGTACATTAAAATTTATGGGATGTGACTAGCGCATCCATCTATGATCATTTAAAACTGTACCTATACTGTGGGAAAACCATGGTGATTTAAAATCCCAACATATTCTGAGATGAGATCTAAAGCATACTATGTTACATATAGTTGGGCTATTTACTTCCATAATTGATCCATCCTAAGAGGTTTTCACGTACAAAGCCACTTGTAAGTAATCCTGACATATTGCTATGTCTGTCATTTAAGGATGTACATCATGGAAATGGTACGCAGCAAGCTTTCTACAGTGATCCCAATGTCCTTTATATTTCACTACATCGCTACGATGATGGAAATTTCTTCCCAGGCAGTGGAGCCCCTGATGAGGTAATAATATGATAAATATGTGATTTCTTCCATTTTCAGAAGTAAATGTTTTAGTTTTTAATTCTCTGAAATTGTTTAGCCTCATCCCTCAAATCCATGACAGCTAAATATAATTGTAGCAATGTAAGTGCTTCATGTTTTGTATTTTATCTATATATAAAATTTAGATATAGATATATGGATATAACAATAGCAATAGGATTTAGACTTATATACCGCTCTATATTGCTTTACAGCACTCTCTGAGAGGTTTATAGAGTCAGCATATTGCCCCCAACAATCTGGGTCCTCATTTTACTGACCTCAGAAGGATGGAAGGCTAAGTCAACCTCTAACCCTGCCAGGATCGAACTTCAGAATATGAGCAGAGTTAGCCTGCAATATTGCGTTCTAACCACTGCGCCATCAGGACTCAACCACAATTGAGACCCAGAATATATGTTGCTAAGTGAGAAATTTGTTAACTGAGTTTTGCCCCATTTTATGATTTTTCTTGCCACAGTTGTTAAATGAATCACTGCAGTCTTTAAGTTAGTAACACGGTTGTTAAGTGACTCTGGCTTCCCCATTGACTTACATTTGTCAGAAGGTTGAAAAAGGGGATCAGATGACACCAGGACACTGCAACCATCATAAATATGAGTCAGTTGACAAGCATCTGAATGTAAATTACATGACCATGGGAATGATGCAAGGGTCATAAGTCACTTTTTTCAGTGCCGTTAACAGTCCAACACATAGTGTCAGGGTGTAAGGTACAAGCAAGAATAGCATGTACTGAACAACACAACCAAATACCTGGCATTATGTACAGGAACATCTACACAGAGTGTAAGTTAGACTCTTCCAAATCCAGATGAGAAATTCCATAGAACATTGTAGAGAATAATAGGACTAAGATCCTGTCGAGTTTCCAGATCCAGATGGACAGGCAGGTACTATCCAATCAACCAGATACTGTGGTAGTAGACAAGGACCAAAAAACGGTGGGGATAGCTGTAGTGATGCTAAGGGACAGCAACATCAGGAAGAAGTATGAAAGACTGTAGAAGTATCGGGGCCTGAAGGGAGAACTAGAGAAACTGTGACAAAGACCAAAATGATGATAAGAGCACTTGGGCTATAACAGGAATTAAGTTGGGAGAGTGAGCAGATCCTAGGAAGAACACCAGATCTCTGTTTCCAGAAGAGTTGTCAGCCACTCTCTCTCAGTTCTAGGAAGCAAGCAATGGCAAATCACTACCAAAATCTCACAAGATAACTGTAGGGATTAGTCCAGGCAATTACCAGGAGAAGCATTAATAATGAATGAATGAATTAAATCTAATTAATTGTATTATTAATCCCTTCTTGGCATGTTATTATTTATCATATAGGGAATCCTCACCACCATTCATTTAATGAAAATCCAAGTTATGATGGCCTTGGAAAAAGTGATTTACAATCTGTATTGCACTTATGACCATTGCAGTTACATAATCACAATTCGGGCATTTGGTAACCAGGTCACATTTGCAGCTGGTTGTCACATCTTGCCATCATGTGATTGTGACTTTTTTTGCCAATTTCCAACCCAAAAAAAAATGGGAAAGGTGGATTTACTTTATTATAAAAATTGTTGTAAAATCAGATCTGACACAACTTACAACAGAAACTCCAATTGTAATTGTAAATTGAGGACTACCTGTACCAGTAGAAGATACTCCCAGGATTAACTCAAAGGCAGAAATAAATAAATAATCATGTTTAAATCTCTGCTTCTCATTTTGTTGTTTATCACGCCATCAGAGGATTCTCTCAGATTAAATAATATTCTTATGTTTAAATGAAAACGTTCTCACAGTAATACTTGTAATTTAGGTATGGTTTCTTGTTAATGTGAGAAATTAATTGCCCCGTCTGTGTAATGCTGATTTTGCAATTTAAAAATAGAAAGGATACATATTCTTTTCACCTATTCCAACTTACTTCAAATCTGTGCCATTCAGATGCTTTGGTTTGAAACTTTCTAGTCAGCATGGGAATTTCCCATACCTAATTGGTAAAGGCTCCCCTGTACTGCCCCTACTAATATATTGAGCATATACAGTTGCAAGAAAAAGTATGTGAACCCCTTGGGATAACGCGGAATTTTGCATGAATTGGTCATAAAATGTGCTCTGAACGTCATCTAAGTCACAACAATAGAAAAACACAGTCTGCTGAAAATAATAATATACAAACATTACATGTTGTCATGGTTTAATTGAACATAACATGTAAACATTCACAGCGCAGGGNTAGGTCTGGCATCCTTTGCAGCACTCTAAAACTTGCATGACCTAACCTCCTGTTTAATAAATGTACACAATTATCATGAGTGGGAGTGTTTGTAAGTGTTCGTGCACAACCATCCTGCTGCTTCCCTAACACGTATAAATTATCCAGCTTAACACCTTGTACACAAATCCTGCCACTTTTCCTGATGGTGTATAGACCCATTGCAAACAGTACTTCATACCCCATATTATCCAAGCTTAAAATACTGAGTAAATTATGGTCTAACACTGGTACATATAATACATTGTCCAATGTTTCTCCAATACCAGGTACATAAACTTTACCTTCCCTTTTAACAGCAGCCTATTGTCCATTAGCCAAGCTAACAAATGTTTGTTTAGCTGGTCTTAGGTTTGAAAACATTTGTAGGTCATTTGTGATATGCTGACTCACCCCACTGTCCAATAGCCAAGTATTTTTTTCAGTTAATGCTGCCAGGGAAAATGTCGGTTGTGTATCTCTACGACCTTGTTTCGCTGCTCTACAGAGATGCTCTGTAGAACCACATGTGAAGCAGCATTTCACCATGCAAATGTTCTCGGCTGCTCTGCTGGCATCTTTGGACATTACAGTTTTAGGCCTGGTCTATGTGTTGGCGTCACCTCGTCTCTGCTGCCTTTCCAGCCGTTCCTGTTCCTTCTCCAGCAACCAGCCAGTCAAATAATTCATGGTTAAGTCCCTCTCTTGCATGGACTCTAAATTAGTCACTAGGACATCCCATGAAGTATCCAATGAACTGAGCACCACATACACCTTTTGTGCCTCAGTAAAAGTCATTCCACTTTCTTCTAACTCTAGGACTGTCTTTCTCATGGACTGCAAATGCGTAGACATGCTTTCTCCCAATTTCAGTTGGGCCTTATACAGTTGCAAGAAAAAGTATGTGAACCCCTTGAGATAACGCGGAATTTTGCATGAATTGGTCATAAAATGTGCTCTGAACGTCATCTAAGTCACAACAATAGAAAAACACAGTCTGCTGAAAATAATAATACACAAACATTACATGTTGTCATGGTTTAATTGAATATAACATGTAAACATTCACAGCGCAGGGAGGAAAAAGTATGTGAACCATTGGACTTAATAACTGGTTGACCCTCCTTTGGCAGCAATAACCTCAACCAAATGTTTCCTGTAGTTGCAGATCAGACCTGCACAACGATCTGGAGTAATTTTGGACCACTCCTCTTCACAAAACTGTTTCAGTGTAGCAATATTCTTGGGATGTCTAGTGTGAATCGCTCTCTTAAGGCCATGCCACAACATTTCAATCGTGTTGAGGTCAGGACTCTTGACTGGGCCACTCCAGAAGGCGTATTCTGTGCT